CTCGTGGTTTAGAGAGGGAGAAACCACTAGGGAAACAATACTGTATGCCGCCTGTACGTTGTCGTGATTAGGAATTATGTAGAAGCTAGCTAAGCTCATTTTGACTCGGATCCAAAATATCACAAGAGAGCTTTTGTATGAGGGATGAGGTGTAGCGGTGGCGCTGCTTCGAAGGCAGGCGATCCTATGAATTTAATGCGAACTCTGCCCGCAGTAAAGTGACTGCTTAGTGAGCGCTCTGCGCTGGGCGTGGCGGCCTAACAAGCCTTTGCTCATTGCGACCGCCGCCTTTGATTCCGCTTCCAAGCGGCAGAGTTCGGCCATATGTCGCTTGGTGGTGAGAGTTTGCTGATTACAGCGACAAAGCGCACATATGGTCGGGTTTTAACACATCCTCATTTTTCTCAACCAGATTTTTACAGCATCCAGGTCAAAGTTCTCTATCCCTAAAGGGTTGCTTAATTGCTGTTAACTTTGTGTGGGGAAATCAAAACCCGGCGTTGTGCAGCCCGCAAGTCATTGTATAAAATCAGTCGAAGTGGGGTGTGTGAAACCAATTCAAATGCCGCCGATTTGGAATGGGAATAGAGTGAATGGCGCATCCAAAAATATATTGCCCAACGCTGGATGCATTATTTTTTCCTATTTATTTTACCCTTCTTGTTGTTTTTATTGAAAAAAAAAATGCTAAAGAGTAAGCATGTGAATAAGCTAATAAAGACCGTGGGAATGAGATCCTGGCTGATTAGAAGTGTGGAGGAAAAGATCCATCCTCGACCTACTGACCCTATTGCTGCCCTTGAGCTCGTCAGACCACAACATCTATTCAAGTTGTACTACAGAATTCTATATTTTTCGGTGTCCGAACCTAATGGCCTACAAAATTAGATATACCTATATGCATTAAATTCTGTTATTTTTTCTCGGTGGAACAAATTAACGAATTGTGAGATTATCGTAGCATATGCTCTGGGTCTTTAAGTGTTCCAAGCGCGGACTTTGTCGCAGAGCTTGAAGAACTGACACTTGACCTATTTTTTTTTGTCCATGGGGGACGCACCAGTGAACTCAGAACATGAACTCAATGTAACTTCCAATAAGTGAAAGGAAAGAAAAACTGGTGCAAAGGAATGAGCAGGACCAATGCGACCAACAAGAGGAGGATACCAGGTCGAGTGAGCATTTGTGACGAGACGTAAACCATTAGATATGTTTTCGGACGCTGATCTCGAATCTGCCTTCTAAGTCTGTTGAATGAGTCCCTGAACGTAGTTATGAAGCAAGTGCAATGACAGCGCCTCGGTTCGACGAGCAAGAGGTCGTGAGATCGACTTTGGCGATCTCACTTTTGCTTTTCTTGAGAACATTTTCTAAGGAACTCTTCTCCATGGTAAGCCACCAGCGATTGCCATATTACAGGTGGAAGAGCTGGCAAGCTTCGAACACTGCGCACCATGTCGCCACGCCGGTGCCTCTTACAGTGGAACTTTCATTTGAAACAGTCCCCGTAACTCTATTCAGAGAAGTTCCGCAAATTTGGAGGCTGGATTTGAGATCAGCTTTCGAAAACACATCTGTGTGTATAGCTTTCTCTACGAATGGCCTCTTCAATCTGGTATCCTTTCTTTGTAAGACGGCGACCATGAAGTAAAGATGCTCGAGAGAAACAGGTCATAGGGGAACTGACTCCTAAAAGGACGGTGAGGCCAGGTCTAACTCAGGCGGCAGCGGTAAGTTACCGGGCAACTACCGGCACCAGTCGGTCATGGTACCGTTTAGCACCACAGCGGCATCATAGGCATTGCCAAAACTTCAGAACACGAGTATACCGATCATCTGTGAATTTGGCAAGCTGCCTGAAGGATCAGAACCGGGCCATTACAGTCCAAAGGAGGCGTGGAGTTCAACTTATTAAAAGAGGTGTGAAAGGCATGAGGATTTCAGGGAGACTTTACTTGTTACAGACTGGCATCTTTCAACAACCGTAAGAAAAAAATGCGTGCATCGTTCGAGTTTGACGGGAGTTCTTGCACGCGACGCTCGCGGAAAGGCTCCACTGTGCGTGAAAAAAGTAATAGAAAAAGTGTGGTAGTATCTTTCAGGCACCTCCTTCCCTTTATTACATCCCGAATTTCATCACACCTGAAGAAGAGGAGGTCATCACGTCATGCATCGTGAACGCTCCGCAACCGAAATGGACCGTGCTTTTGAATCGTCGATTACAGAACTATGGTGGTGTGGTTGGCAAGAAGGCGCTGATACCAGCTGATGATATTCCATTGGTACGGAGCCTTTTTTGAAAGGGTTCATTTTGCTTCTTTGCTGCAGTCGGCTGTATATTTCTTACCAATGGTGAGCAGAAGAGGGTTTAGGAGCTCAGTTACCTGATGAAGAAATTGACAACTTGGGTGTTTTCCCGAGTCCATCCAACCATGTTCTAGTGAATGAGGTAGGATATCCTTGGAATCAGCGATAGCTGCTCTTTTAAATATTTATTTTCAGTATACCCCGGGACAAGGAATTATGCCACACACGGATGGACCGGCATTCTTTCAGCTCGTCTCGAACGTTACCATGGGTTCACATACGCTTCTCGATTTGTATAGACCAGTGAATCAAGAGGTGGGTGTGGTTTGTGGAAAGAGAGGGCGTTTACATGGGTCAAAATGGGTAATTCGCGAAAATCATCATGAAGGGTTAACATGCTAACGAGACACATAAGTTTGAATGGAATACTGCGTTTTGCTCATTTTTGATGTCTTATCTGCCAGATCCTTCCCTGGGAAGTTCCATTCTCTTTCAATCTATCAGGCGACTTCCGTTTTGGTTACGCAACTCCGTTTGAGACTTGGCTGAAGTGATGGACACGGTGCCATTTAGTGCGCTCCCGATTCTGGAGTTCAGCACCGGCTCGAAATCCGCTTGAGGCAAACCAAGTCTAACTTTCCTATCCCGCCGACCCGCTCTGGCTGTGAGAAAACAGTGCTTATTCTATCGCGTTAGCCACCAACAGCTCGAAATATAAGCCATACGTCCAGAAATCATTACGGTTTGTTGGATGCCTGCATGCGTGGCCGCATTCTCTCAACGCCATATGCCAGTTCATGTGAGGTTCATTTCTGCCCCAGTTTTATAACTGCTATAGGCGCTGAACCTGAGCAGCGTTGTTTTCTGTCGCGTCTGGGGTCGTGAGTAATCTAAGCAGTTTCTCCAGGGTTGACTTTTGTGGGATTTGACTGAAATATTGACTAAAACGAGGAAAGATCGAGCATGCGTCAATCGTTGTAATTGTTTATTGCACAGGTTAACACCCACGCTAAAATAAGAAAAAGCGTAAAAACTGAGAGGTAAGAAAAGGAACAATTCCGAGGAACATCCGTAATCACAAATAAGGGTTACAACTGAAAAAAAAGCAAAAAAAAAAACACAAAAACTTAACGAATAGTGCTACGGTGTAAGATACTCGGGACACGGGGCGACTCGGTTCGGTTATAGCGACACTGAATTGGGCGGAAGTCTGTGGAGGGTAACAGCTCGCTGACGGATGGCTCGACTTGTGTGGTCTCAAAGATCATTGTAGGAGGTTTCCCTTCCTTTTCATTCCTGGCACGATTCAAGGACGGAATAAGCGATGAAATGCAGCAATGAATCCTGAAAATATGTAATTTTGTTATACTGTAACGATCTAAAAAGTAATTCAAAGTGACAAAGGGAAAAATTAGAGGTTTTTTTGTCGGTTGGTTTTAGTATATAACGAACCACCTTTTAAGTGCGTCAGTATAAATCTGTAGATCATAGACTCGTTCTGTCCCTCATTCTGTCGCGGGGCGTCACGTTCATTACTGAAATGTGAGATTTTCAAAAATTTTAATTTTTCTTTCTGGACCCGAGTCTTACGAATATTTTTGGCTTGCAGCACAGATTAATTCAAAATTTCTGTGAGGAATCCTCTCGGTGTTTTATATTTTTAAATTTTATTCCAAGCAAAAATTCGGAGGCATAGAGTAGGCATACTGACAAATTTTGGAGACATGAAGTGGAAAAGCGATGACTGTTGTTGCCATCAAGAAAAGTTACTAAGAATTACTGCTGGAGCCAAAACGCTCACTTACTCCTTCACTTTGACACTTCTACGAATGGAAGCATCTGTGGAAAACGCTGGAGAGCTTCGAGTTCTTGTCCGAGAATGGGGCATCATAATTATTTCGGATGTGGAACTCGCCAGTCTACAAAAATGCAGATTTCGACTGGGAAAACCTCCTAGCTGTTCCAAAGAACTGCCCTTACTTTACTTGACTGGCAGATCCCTGCTGTACATGATTAGGAATACGTGAAGTCTCTTCAGAGTAAAGAGGGTGAGTTCCTTCCCAGAAAGGATCACGTCGTAGCTCTGGTGGGCGATCATAGCCTTGATCGACCATCATCATTCCCATCTGACGAAATGGAAGGTATTCATTGAATTTCGGACATCAGGACTGTGGGGGCGAATGTGGGTCACACGATGTTTTGACAATCCTGATAGTTTTGTCCCACAGCTGACCGACTGAAAAAACTGAACATTAGGTGTTGATCAGATCCCTTCGGGATGCGCTAGGACGGGATATTCCATTTCTATACAATTTTTTGTTTGAATCCATTCCTATGAGCGCTTGCAGCAGCCGTATGTACAACCTCGAGCGGTTTCACTCTCAGACACGTTTATCCCAATGGACCCATTGGGAGGCTCAGGTACTGGTCGCATCCGGTTTTTCCTTACCCAGAGCGGTGGCCTGAATGACAGATACCATGTGGTGACTACACGAATCCTACACAAACGAGCAGTTCTTCGATGGCGTGAGCAGACTTTAGATGACCGCAATATCTCAGGAATGCTTGAAATAACAAATCATGTTTCCCTCTTATTGATCTTACCGTAATATTTCGGTCTATGAGAGCATTGGTCTCGAAGTCGTCATCGTCTTCTCCGAAAGGATTTATAACTGCTTCAATCACCTTCATCCATCCCATATAGAATATGAATTGTAATACGGTCATTATTGGGAAGTAGAAGTCGATCTGGAGAATGTGATTAGAGAGAAGTTCTAAATTTAATCAAGAAAAATTTGAGTTTAATCCCTACTCCAAGGGTCTACTCTAAGGCTTGGTCTCAAATACTGTAACTGGCTCACTCACTTAAATGCCCCCCCCCCCTTCCCTAGCGATATGAGCGCCAGTGCACGATCGCTATCAAGCTCTAATTTGCGACCCTGATCAAGAATGTCGGTGTTTGTTTGTACCTCATTTCCAATCTCATGTTCGATGACGATTTTCTGACGCGCAAGTATGCAGACGAGGAAGTAGAGGTGTACAGCTAAACAAACCACCTAAATAGGTTATTTGTAGTATTTTCGTTGACAACTAGGAATTGACTAAAAATCCTACGAGCAGCTAAACTAACCTGTGGATACATTAGGGGCAGAGGTACCCAGTCATAATTGAATACCCATTCCATATCCGTACGCCATTTTCTAATTTGCTTAAATATGAATAAAATGTATATTGTATTTCAAAAGTGGTACAAACAGTAGACAAATATATTGCCATGATAAATAACGTGAAAGATTCGATCGCTATGGTCTTTAATTATAAATATACTCAAAGGAATCTTTCTCGGAAAAATCATGATTCTATCTCTACCATAAATCACTGGCTTGAGACCCATCATTTACGAAATAACGAAAGAAGAAAGAAAAAAATTGCATTTGTTTTGGTAAAAAATTCGAAAAACCGGAAGGACTGCTACGCGTTCAAATTCCCGCCGGACATCTGTCACAAATGCTGGCGGCGGGAACGATCCACTTGGTTTCCGGATTGCCCTCACCAGGGGCCGTATGCTATCCTTCCCCGAAGCTAGGTGACGCAAAGTTTCCTTTAAATTTATTTGCTTTGAACGATGTAGTTTCTTCATTTTCAATGCATGTTTACTTTAACCTACATACATACATTTAATGTAGGCCTTTTATCAGGGTAATCCCAGTTGGGAAGACAGAGAAAATTTAAAGGAATTTTCGTCCCCTAACCCCTTCGGGGAGGATAGCATACGGCCCCAGAGCTGTTTGTGATCTTTTGACTTCTTCTACTAACATCTAACACTTTCTACTGATCCTCTTCTATCGATATGTTCTCAATTACCCCAAAATCGAACGCTTCTGACCCGATTCTTTCAATTCGTCGCCTGATACGTGGCCGCTCCAAGGCGCATTTCTTTCCATGCGCCGCCTTTGGCGTCTCGCGGCCTACCTGCGACCGTATAAATAGTATGGTATTCGTGGGTTTGCTCCTCTTCGGGAACTAAATCTTTAGTCCGTGCGTGAGACTTAACTATGTTTCTCTAGTGGTACAACAGACTATGCTCATGTGAGGAAAGAAAGCAGGGGAGTTTCCCCGTGAAGGATTCTTGTTCTGCATAGACCAGGAAAGTGGCTGTGAGTTGGAAGTTTTGGCGATATACTAGCTATTGAGCCAATACGTATTGCAAACGAAGAACTATATACAGTTGTACAATGTATGCTCGCTATGGTAATCGCGTAACTAAAACAAAAAGCCATGATTGAAAGATGTTTGTAACTTGGAGTACCTCTTGAAGGGTAACTTTGTATTTGGCACTCTCAATATGACCATGTTTCCACGCTTGATATGTCATGGTAAGGGCCCAACTGGCCGGAATCCAATACTTCGGTGTTTTTGCTGAATCGTCATATGATTGGAATATTTCCTTCTCATGAGGGAGCATGAAAACCTGAAACAGGGTTTTATATGGGTTTCATGGTCTCAAGAGACTAGACAGTTGGCAATAAATTTCCTGAGAAACCAAATATGGCAGGTCTTTTTATTCGAATGCGTCTGAATGTGGGGTATATGAGTTAGAAAGCAAAAATCAAACTGCATTGTGGGCCCCACTTTTGCAAATAAAAGGTGAGAAAAGAAAACACGGCAGACAGATAGAAACGAAACTACTCGATAAATTCTTTCACTGGACAGTACAATGGTGGGGAAGAATATTTCAAGATAATTTGTTACGATCTGTGTGACATTGCCGTGACATACACTGCTGTTCACAATTTAGAAAATTTGAAGTCTGTACCTGCTGCGACGATAGTGTCCAATGTGGGAAATCGCCTTCTGACTCGCATACTTACATCTCGGAAGACAAGCACCTGAACAGTAAGCTGTCTTAATAAGGCCTTATGCTATTTTTCGTCAAGTGGGGGGGGGCAGGGGCAGTTTGTCCGTCCAGCCTTTCTGTTTGGGGATGGTGAAGGGGAAAATTCGAAAGAGACCGGTATTTTCGGAAGTTCAGCGGGTCGTGGCGCGGAAGGGCAGTTTGTTGAAGGCCTTTGGAAATTTAGGAATCCTGACAACTTCAAAGCTAAAGCACGAAGTGAACAAAACTAGAGCGTTTACCGTTTCTTGAGACTCATCCCTTCTTTCCTCATCTCTCCTCCCGATGCTCGTTTTGGAGGGTAGATGTGCGTGGGGTTGAAAAGTGTCCACTGTCGAAATAATATAGCTGCCAAAACTGCTCATCGGTGGAAGCGGTCGGTAGGGAGCGGGTACATATCAAGAGGGGTGGAAGGAAATCAATCTTTAGTTGTTGTTTTTTTCGAAGAGGGAAAAAAAAAAAAACCAGACGACATTATGTTATGGTTTGTCGATAATTCTCAAGGATTTTCTTCTCTTCTTCTACTCCAAGGAAAAAGGTTATAACCCATCGAATATTCGGCCTAGATATCTTTTCCAAAAAATAGCGGAAATTTTGCCAAAATATTATTCGCCGGGCTGGCAGCATACATGAGCATCTCCGTCATCTCGCATCGCGCTCACTTCTATTTTGTATAAGTGACATACACGGCAAAAACCAGTTTGGTGAACCCTTACTATATGACCTCTGACCTATGACCTCGTGGAAAGTTTGTGTTTTGTCACCCATGAAGACTTGAATATGGTACTGTACTACGAGATATACAAGTCGCTGGACATTCTTTAGTAATCTAGAATTCAAATTTTTGTCATAAATTTGTAGAAGTAAATTAGAGGAGGCGGGCTGAATTCAGATTTTAGATTTGGAATTTTATTCAATTTCAGTTTTTAGTTTTGAAGAAAAATCAATGTTCCGTGTGAGAAACTGACCTGAACTAGTTCACAGTAGCGTAGAATGTTTCGTCTGTACATTCGAGCTCGCTGTGATCGCCCTCGGACGTACAAGGCACACATGAGACCAACGATAAAAAGAGAAGTCATTAAGATGAAGATCGAAACAATCGATTCTCGGGAATAGCCAGTACTCTATCGTGATGGTTTTGTTGAAATGTATAAATAGCTGATTTAGTGGCAAAAGTACTCCTTCGCGAGATAGAATTTTGCTTGAGTGAACCGAGCTTACGTCATTTCGAAATCAATTTAATTTATTATGATGATTTTTCACAGCGAAGAAGAAGAAGAAGAAGAATTTGTTCTCTCCAATGAAAAATCAGTCAGGTTAATTATGAAAATTATGTCAGTCTTGGTCATTCAGGAGCAAGTTTGGATCCTTTGACCATTTAAAAGTTCCGATGCTGTACGCTGCCACTACCAATTGCTTGAACATATTATTGCAAGATATGAATCGTTTCAATAGTGAGGCTTTCGAGGAACACTCAGTTGAGTCGCAGTTGGTGTATTAAGGAGGAGGGGATGATATAAGTGAGTATGAACGATATTGACGTTAGCCTTTATTCTTCCTATGTCGTTGGTAAAACTAAGTGTACGTATATTTAAATTCACTAGGAGGTACATCTTCTGCTGTTCTACGTAAGATATTCAAGTGTGTGGCGTATTCCTCAGGTATCGATTAAAGTGTTTTTAATATCAAATCTTTACAAACTTGTCAATAAAGCCGATGCTATCGTACTGCTTATTCCATCTGTTGAACACTTGAGTGCAGAAAAATCCAAGCACAAGTTCCAGCGGGATATATTCGAGTCGCGCATCGAAATATCGTACCACTGCTTCGAAATTCCTAAATTTTACAAGAATATGTCCTTTCAAGCAATCTTTACTAGCGGTACATAGGGAGAATTACTGCTGTGTTTTCAAAATCTACAACGCTCATACAGTGAGCATGTTAGTGGTACTTTTGCGTGCGGCCGCGCTGCGGTTAATTCCACCTCGTTTTCAATGTCTTTCGTTTAGTCCTTTGATTATTTATATACAATCGATCTTCGACTTTTCGTCCGCAACGCGGCAGCACGCAGCCTGATGTGCTTTGCTCAGGATGCTGTTGCGTTTTTACGCTTTGGGCTGAATAGGAGAAGGTCTTACTCTTGTTGTGTTTCATTGAGAGCCCAGCGATAAACGGCAGAGATAATAGCGTAAATGAGTAGGAAAAATAGGAGTTCCATGTAAACGGCTTTCCATATGCTTCCTTTCCATTTGAAAAGTAATTTGAAAAATGTCCATGGCTTGCTTGTCGAAACGGTTCTGTTGTAGTTGATCGTCATTCAGAACACCTGGTCTGAAATAGGTATAGATAAGCAATTCAGTGACCTGATGCTTTAGTTGACTCGGTGTTTAATGCTGTGATAACCCAAAAATGTCCGGACATATTGTGGCAATGTATGTCACGACGATGTATTTGGTATTCTGTGCTAGATGAGTGGTGGCTCAGATAATAGAAGTGAAGACGAGAAGGCGGAACGCTGTTGAAAGGAAGCGAAAATCCGTACGAAAACTACAATTCTTTTGAAAGTACTGTTGGCCGTGTTTACCCTTTGCTGCTCCACTCCCCAAGAACTGTGCCGCAGTTTAATCAAAGTTTGCACACGGCCAAGGATTTGGCTAGAATACTTTTCTTCGGAGGTACTATTTCAACCGTAGAACACGAATACCATATCAGTTTAGCGCGAAAACGCTTGGCGCCCGCGCCACAGGCGCCGGCGCTATCACAACAGTTTTGCGCCGTAGCGCAGGCTACAGGTTCACTCGCAACGAACTAATGTGATATTCATGTTCTACGGGTCTAACTATCTCAGACGACAACTTAACAGCGAATTTGGTCATCTAAGTTATCTGGCGCCGCTGGCACTTGTGGCACGGGGCCAGACGTTTTCACTCCGAATGAATATGATTTTCGTGTTCTACGAGTCGAGCTATCACCGGGGGCCAAACCACAGATATGGGCAAATTCGATTACAATTCTGCATCAGTCTGCTTTCGTGTAAGTGGGCATTCGGTAAACTTTGTGGCGACCACTGCTCTCACTACCACCCAAGCGAAGCATTGAACTTCCAGTGGTACACACTTAAGTTAGATCCATTATAGGTGGATAGGTTTTCAACACCGCTCGACTTAGCACAATCTTGCGAAACTGAAACACCGCTGACAAATAACACTACGTTCCAAGTCAGCCAAGCAGCCTCCAACTTGCGGTGTAAGTCCAAGCCGTTACAGATAAACCAGTGGCAGCCTTGGCTTTCAAGAGCCGCTGGAATAGCGGTAATGCATCCGCCCTGCCAGCCGTCGGACTCATGAGTTTTCAAGTCTCAGTGCGCTAAGTCTGCGATTTACTACACTCTTGCACACACCGGTTTTAAATGTTCGAACGCTAGCATCGTGCTTTATATCGTACGCTTCCATTCCCGCTATTTTTTCGCGGCTCCTTTGGCAGGCCCATTTTGCAGTATTGTTTCCCATATTCTATATTCTTCATTTGGGAAATTCGAACGTAGGTAGCACTTATTATGTTGGTGAGTGCGAGCTCAAAAAGGTCAAGGAGATTAGAGATCTGGGTTTTATTATTGATAATAAATTGTCATTTGATTCTCATTGCAGGACAATAGCTAACAGAGCTCAAACCAGGCTCTTTCAGCTCCTCAGAAGCTTGTACACTAAGGACCCCGGTATCCTTATTAGGGCCTTCAAGGTGTACGTTCGCCCTATTTTGGAGTATGGTACTGTCGTTTTCTTCCCTCACTCGAAAAAATTGATTTCACTTCTTGAGGCGGTTCAAAACAGCTTTACGAGGAAGGTTTTAACTCGAACATTGGGCTTTAACTATTACGACATACCTAAGGGTCTTGTTAGAAATAAGATGCTTGGTCTTGAATCCCTCCTCTGTAGAAGGAAAATATTGGATCTGGTTACTGTTTATAAAATCATCACAGGCAGGATGCTGATAGAGAGTAAGGGCTCCTTCGTCCCTCTTCCGTCCCACACCAGAGGAGGTACGTTCAGACTGTTGCTTACTAAATCTAAGACTGGTATTCGTAGTAAATTCTTCTTAGCAAGGGCTTCATTGGAATTCAACAAATTTATTAAAAAGTTCGCAGTGCCTAGTAGCATCGCACAGTTAAAAAGAAATACGCATAAGTTTTACGTTTAGCAGATTGCTGTCTTAGTATTTCGTTACTACTATTACTCTGGAGGTTGGTCACCCTTTGAGTTCTCTTATTTCCTCCACTTCTTAGCTTCGTTCTTCTCCATTTTTTAAATTTTGTTCTGGTTTGTATCGTTATCAATGTTATCAGTGTTGTTGTTTTCCTGACTGTTTCTTTTAAATTTGTTTCATGTACGCAAGGTACATGTACTATAAATATTTGTAATCAGCGTTTGAAACCCTATCGATCTATATGGGTCTTAATTCAAAGTTCCATGGGAGGTTGGATGCCTTCCCTGGTAGGGTGCCGGACATCAATAATTAGGATGCCGTAATCCTTTGCATCAGCCACGAGTCGTCGTAGAGGGCTCATGTCCCGTAACTAGTTTACCTGTAGTATATACAGTGCATACGTTATGGGGAATACATATGGGGATGAAGACTGATTCACAAAATTGTCGATTGGAAGAGAGGCAAAGCAGGGATGACATAATACATAGGATACAAATCACTGTAGGAAATGGAAAAGTAATGCACGAGTTACACTGAATAGTTGAAGTTGCAATGGTTTGGAAGTGGCATATGTAGATGTTTCAAATAGATGCAGACTAGTGCGCGGTCGCGGTGCGGCTACCTAGTGGGGGCGTCCTTCTGCGGTGAAAATTTCTTTTTTGCTCGGGCGCTCGCTTTTTTGCATTGGCTTTCAAAAATAACATCATGGAAGTGAGATGCGAAAAAAAGTAGAAAAGCAAGTTGTGACGTCAGATTTATACAAGCGTAATGTATGCCTTCACTACTGCCCCAAGGCAGTAATTGCGAGATCTCTTGGAAAGGTGTCGACAGTAAAGGCAGTGGCAGAAGGTGGCAACGGTGATGTTTGTGTTGGTAGGCGGTCGGTAAGTCGGTCTTTGACGATCAACGTATTGAAAAGATCGATTAGGCAAACGGAATTCCCTTTTGAGAACATGGCGCTTTTTGTGAACCTTTTATGGGCGAAGAAGTGGGCGAATATTACGGCAAAGATCTCTTCGATCGACTGTTTGATCGGGGACTACTTTTGGGACTGTTTAGCTGTGTTCTTGGTTATATATCGAATAAATCACAGGCTATGGTTCACCAGCATCGACTGTTGTTAGCGTAATTATTTTACTACTCTTTTTATTAGACTCAAGGGAGACAACTGGCGCGATGCCAAAAAGCTCTGCATTTCAGTTGAATCTTAGACAGGATTCTCGTCTGAGGTGCTTGCCTTATATACGGGGTCAACCGTCCGTCTGCCTTGGTCAGACAGGGGTGATTTTTTCATGATTTTTTTCACGATGGGATTTTATCCTGTTTTTTCGAGGGAGGGGGGTGAAGAATATTTGGCTAAATTGCGTGGTTATTCTGAAAAACGGGACTGTACGATATTCTCCGGCCGGAGAATGAGAATTTTCGGATATTTTTTGGCGAATCTTGCCCATTCAACAGTCATACCCCTGCTCGATGGCCTTTTAGGGTTTCGCGGGCGGGATTGAATCACGTAACAATCTAGCTCATCAAAACTATCGACACTATTAACAGCAGTGACGTGAGGTAGTCGTTCAGCGGTCGGCCACACACGTTTGACACCACTAGTAAATGATCATAGAGGCTGATTGATTTAGAAGTCGGCGTTTTTATCTTCCAAATGAATTTTATGAAGAGGCGTCTTTTTTTTGGGGAGAATCGCAAGGTTGCTTGGATCAGGTAGGGTTCGATCCACGGACCATGCAATTGGTGACGTGTGGTGACGAAGTTTACCATAGCCGCCTTTTATTCTTTTGTGGGAGTATTAGGCTGCCGGGACATCAGCCATCCTGCTACCAGATAAAACTATTTCAAATTTTTTTTTCTCTTATAATTTTTCTCTTTCTCTATTTTCTCTTTTTTTTTTCGCTCACTTATTCACCATAGCTCTAAGCAAGGTTATAGTGAGTCGAAAGTAACGGCGTGTTACAGCACAATACGTTATCTATGGATTACGAAGTGATAAGTTTACTGGAAAGCTGTACCTGTCGCAAGTCTCATGCGTCAACCTGATACATGGAATGACATGGCACTTCTCACCGATTGGACGAGTTTTAGAAAAAAAATCCTCAATTTGATCGTATCAGTGTGTAAAACATTTTGACGCGCAGAAAAACCTACAATTTCGTTCTCTCCGGGCTTCTGCCATATTTCGGTGCTTAGCAGATTCGCTATTCTCAAAACTTATGTAGCTAGCCAAGACAAACTCGTAGGTGGTGAAGCAGTGGTGGCGTTCATTTAAAAAGATCTACGCTCAATGTTTGGGAATACACATGGTATCCACATTCCCAGCGGCAATATTTTAGATAGAAAACTTTCACTTACTTCGATCCACGTTTCCCTTCCTAAGGCTTTTTGATTATGTTGAATATTTTATTGAGATGAGTGAAAAACAAATAAGCCCTCGAGTTTTCGCCGGTTTGGGCAGAAGGATTAGGCTTATCTTGGTTTTGATCTATGAGGAGGTAGCGCTCGTGCTATGTCAAGAATCATACCCTTACGAGTTCTTGATCGATGACTTGCGTTCGGGAGGATTAGAACACACAACGGGAATGGTCTTTTTCGTCGTGTGTTCTAGAGAAATGCTCGACAGCGTAGCAATTGTGGGAGCTATAATACAGTAAACAGTTTCTGGCTCATATTTGAGGAATAGGCTCGTATGAGTGGGGTGGTTACATTATATGCGGAGATTCAGCGCTGACCTCTTCACCATGTCCGATCATTCTTTTCCAGAAACCCGAAAGTGAAGAAGAACGCTATGTGGGTTCCATGTTGCTCGAGCCACGAAGTCTGTTTCTGATGACGGACGACGCCTACATAAATATGCTGCATGGTATCAAGGAAGTCAAGGAGGATTTCATCGATGAGAAAGTGATCAACGGTGAAGAGCATCGAGACCTTGTTAGTATTAAATGTACACTTTTGCGAGCGGACAGCAGGTGGGTCAGTTGATATATATTTTAATATATTAACAGACTTTAAGAAAGCTTCTAATTTTCATTTCAGGCTCGACAAAGGCGCTAAGCGCCGAAAGCTCGCCAAAAAGGCCTAAACTTTTGCAAAACTTTTGCAAACACACAATTTTGCAATTTCTTTTGTATAAAGTTTCAGAGTCCTTCTGCAATAAAAATTTTTTGAAGTCTCACATTATTTATTACACATTTAGAAAATATTTTCGGCCATCTCTTTTTGCTAAATTGGGTCAGTCTTGTTGAACTGATGCTATATTATTTGTATGGATAGCCGGAATTCAATACTATCACGGAGTAAATATAGTGAGTTATTGTTAGTGTGTAGCGATAAGAAAGAACATGATGTTATTCAGTCGGCACACAACTGACCATGCGATAGGCTTGTTACCGGGACAGGAACCAATTTAATGCTAACATTATTTTTACCCATCAAATAAAAACTGGGGTGGTAAGAACTTTACAATAATAGAGAATAACAAATTAAACTTCAGCCTCTCGAAAAGTAACCTTCAAAATAAATACCAGATTTCTATTTGTACCCCCCCCCAAAACTATAGTATTACCATACCCTATTCCGATCTCTGCGCAAAAACCAATACCAATTCCGCATTATTTCGCCAAATTACCAACAAAGCCAATGATACCTAACGTATGCGTCGAGCAGAACGCTGGGGGTGTTTCAGATAAGGCTGCCCAACAGTTGAGCTGTTAGGAAGCAGACACAGGGTGTATGTCTAATATCCATCTAATCGGCAACGTATGGAGAGATGAAAGTTTTTTTATAGTTACTAAACTAACTTCAGTGTGAAAGAGATGGGCGGAAGTGGTGTAGTGGCAAGTGGCACGCTTACCACGCGAGCGGTCCGGGGATCAAATCCTGGGTCGTGAGTCGCCCGGGCCAACCAAGCCTTCCATCCCTCCGGGGTCGGTTAATTGGTACCAGACTTGTCTGGGAGGATAAAAACACTGACTTGTACATCGGCTGGCCCCGCAAGTCATTGTATAGGCCACATCGCATTCAAACGCCACTACGAATGTACAAATGGAAGTAGAATGCGTGCCGCATCCCAAAAAGGGATTGATCAACGGGCAAATGCTTTATGTAGCTTTGGTAATTAGCGTATTTGAGCTAAAAATAAGCATAAGCACCACACAGTGAAGTTATAAGCTTATTCCGAAGAAGCAACAAATTTTGAGAGATTTCTTCTATCACCGGGTGGGGAGCGCCTAACGCAACACCTCTTTTCACAAGACTCCGTGTCGTTTTCCCTCCGCGTGGTGAGCCTCCACTTAGAGAAATCGATAAATTTGACCACGTAACAATACGCTATGAAGAAACTAAATTTAGTCTGGAGCACAGCAGTTTGTCCGCTTGTTGGGTTTTTTTCGTATTATTCTATGGAAAGAAGCACTTGCGAGTACACATAGGACGCGCCGAGTGTCAAATACTTCAAGAACATACAGAATTTTTCCTAGCCGGTTATTTCATGTGGTGCCGGAGTTAGCGTGCGAGGGTGAAAACTGGTGGAACTTCCAACTAGAAGCATGGCTCCATCTATGGGCCGTCTATTTCCTCTGTTTGCCTTTTTGCAGCTGTGGGCGTGTGTATTTTAGAGCAGTTGAGTGTCCAATACGCATTGAAATCACTCGACGATTATGAGTAGATGTCGAGAGCATGGTGTATACCGAATGAGGTTTGAGCTCTTCGTAATTAATATGGGATAGACATTATATAGACCCTTCACCCTTCTTTCATTTTAGCCTTATACAATTAATTTTGAATATGCGAAATGCGTGCTATTTAGCTGCCTCGAGAGGCTTTTCAGAATGAGTTACAGTCGCCGCCGATGCGGTAAATCGGCCGGCAATTGCGTAATCTCTTACGCATGGCATATGGTACGATTCGTCTGCTAGGCAGTCGGCTGGAAAATTTTGAAATCAAAGGGCGGCACGACGGGGATAAGGCGGACGTCGAGAAGAAGCCGCCGCCAGCAGGAACATCATCGACTGTCACTATGCATTGGCGCTGGGCTGGGTGGTACCAAACATAAAATCTTGTTGAATAGATGTTTGCATAGGCTGGCTGGAAAATGTGTTTTATTAAGCGGTAGGCGCAAAGTATTACCCCTTAAGAAAGGGTTCGTCTTCAAAAAATTATTCAGTAGCAAACTGGCATGAAGTAAGCTTCCTTATTTCTTTTTTTGACACCATAAGAGAAACTTTGGAATTGCATTACGGTAGGATTTGTCAGTGCCACCTTTTTCACCAAGTTCATATCGTTCCGTCTTCTTCGGTGTTACCCGCATAAGCAATTCATCTTCAGTGTATCCCATGCCAAACGTCTTCCCTTAAATCAAAGACAGCCGGACGTGGATTGTTTTCCCATTCATTGCCTAATCTCCCCATTCCATCATTCGCCGTCGTGCGGCGTAATCGGGCAGCGGTTACGGTAGCGAGCAGGCGACAGCCGAGGCTATGCCCCGCCCACGGCTACCGTGCCTGCTCGGCCTCGCACCGCCTCCGTCTTGGCTTGCGTCTTCCCGTAAGCCACAATAAGCCACGCCGTGCTCAAGCACGAAATCCTCACTGGGATCAATTTCCTAACGATTAATCCGTTCACTCATAAGCCACCAAGGGCTTATGGATCACAGCTTTCCGTCGCATTTGGTGTGTGCGGCTGTGTCGGCGCTTGACGGTGGAATTGGCGCTGGCCTGTCAGCACTCGGTGCCAGCTCGACACTACCAGATCTTGGTGGCAACACACGAAGTGAGGACTATGATTCGAACGTATTCGGCTATTCTGTGTGCCACTTCCGGCTACCGATGGCAATTTCTCGACGAAACTGCCCGAAAAGTGAAGCTCATCTCATATTGCACGATCACACACGATTGAGCAGCTTCATCGCGTCATTATCAATTAAAAAAGGGAGATATCCTCGCCCCAATAGGGGCTCTTCCTTCGCAAATTCGCGCGACACCGTTTGGCGTTTCAGTCCGAATCTGAAGTTGTGCCCTGCCAATCTTGGCCGATTCTTGATAAACGGGGAACAAAAAATCAAGTTCTATTAAATTCCAGTCGAAGTGGATAAAACAGAAGACATGGAGGACGAAAGGGACGATAACAACAGTGCCATCTCACCGACCACCTCGACGAAAACGCACAAACCTCGTCGTCAAAGGACTCATTTCACAAGCCATCAAGTAAGCACTGATCTGCCAGTAGAAGCTTTTCCTCGGACATCCGGAGCTTCTTCGAATTGGTGAACAGATAACACTTTGAACTTTCTGCATCAATTTTCCTAGTTCATTGTTCTATGTTATCTTCTACTAAAATCAAGCACGTCTAGGTTCATCTTCTGCGATCCTGTAGGCCACATTACAGACTCTTGAGAATCTCTCTAGCTCCTTGTGAATTCTCCACTAGAGAAATCTTCTATCTTAGAATAACAGCGCGAGACAAAGCAAAGGACCAGAAAGTCACGTATAAATACTGACTGGGACATTCCCTGGTGATCTGACTGAGGTCGTTTCCTTTGTGTTGCCAAAAATTTGGAGTTGCCCACCTTGAAGTCATCCAAAGCAACCGACCTAAACTGATTTTACATTCCATGATGATCTTACCGAGTCGTTTCATTTCTTTCCTTTTGAGGCGCACGTGATTTTGTGAAAGTCCTGTAGTCTTCTTTACCTATTTTTTCATTTTCAACAAGTTTTATCAGATAAAAAATTATTCGGTAATTCTAATACCACAAGGTAATGTCGTAGTATTCTCACTCAATTACTTTACGATGCAATCAAACGTCACGTTCAAATCGATGGGCTTCCATTAAGCGTACCAACACGCGTCGTGCAGTAATAAATCTTACCACATTTGGATCCGCGATTACCATCAAGAGAGAAACCTTATAGTTGCTCATCAAGATCGCAGTGATATATGATTTAAAAGTTTTAGGATTGAACTGCCCACTTACATGAATGAGATATTGTGATCGTGTGTTAGCTGACCGAGCTTTTGAAAACTGTTTTGCTCGATGAATCGTTTGATCCGGACATGGCCAGCTCGAGAAAAAATTGCCCATTTTGGAAGAGCTACGCGTACTGGAGGAGTTCGCGTACGTTTTGAATGCCTATTTTTGAAGGCTTCATCAGTAACTAGATGACGCGTTACTTCTGTTTCAAACTAATAGACGAATTGTGCGTGCGCAGCTGTACTCAGGGTGGAGGACAGGGGGATGACCGTTCGTTTAGCGGGGACCTCCAACCACTTTATTCATCTCCCCGCGTCCCCCTAGTATAATACTTAACCCATTCGCGACCGCGCAGGATTGCGCAATAGCAGCAGCATCAGGAGATTTTTCTTCAATAAAATTCGAGTGGAGGGAGATTTTCTCTGCCCAGGGCTGGCGTAGATGAGCGAGGGTATGAAGATTCTTTTCATGAAAGAAAACTTTCCAAATTCCATTTCAAGCCCTGCAGCCACAGTAATACCATTGTCCCGAGTGAGAGCTTTGTCAGCCACCGGTGGCTGACATTGTCACGAATGGGTTAAGAAATGGGGACCAGTGGAGGAGAATGTGTCGATATTTTTTCGTTTATACCTATGAATCATCCACTCCTGCCTGACCAATTCACATTAGCGATGATCACCTCCCTCCCCCTCCCCCTAAAGCGTCCATTTTTTACAATGAGGATTACATCGGGAGCTACCGTACTCGAAGTCATGACTCATCATCAACACGTCAGAATCCTATGTAACAATTTAGAACCGAAACTGGTATGGTTCGCAGAGCGCAAAAAGGCTTTTAGTGCACTCATTTGGGCGGTTCTGACTTATGTGAATTATATAGTGAAATATGTGGTGATCTGAGCCTCAGTGTGACCGTACCACTAGATGCTCAATTGCGACGTTGGCTTAATAAAATAAAGACACTTTGTGAATTGAAACTTTGAAGCCAACCTTAAAAGCCTTCAGCTCTCCCAAAAACCTCTTAAACTTCGGGTGCAGCGCATACGCGTGGGCTGTCACACTGAAATCTGTGGCGTGTCCACGGTTCACTGAATTTGCTTTAGTGAACTTCAATTACCGAATCTAATGGCTTGATGCTGGCCTGGTTCCTGACAAGATGCGTGTTCGCCGAACAATTTCAATTAGCCGCTACATGTTACCCATTACCACATTCTATTCACGCCTGTAATTGGCGACTGCATTCCCCGGGGAGCGCCATGCCCTTGGCGCTGTCTCATGTGTAGGTACCAGCCGGGTGGCGCCGCTGCTTCTTGATGACCCATTCCCTGACGTTTTTTCCTCAAGTCCACCGTAACCTAAAGCACTGTATAAGAATGACGCCATTCTGTTCCACTTTTTCTAAGCTGTGTGATTAAAATGATACCTGCAATAGGAGCTGCTAATTATTCGCATGATGCGGGACTAGATCGTTTAACCGGAGCAATCAGTAGTTTTTCATATAACACAACAAAGTCAGAGTCCTACTCATTTCAGGTTTGGTTCAAGAATCGCCGAGCAAAATGGCGTAAGCGTGAACGAAATTACGTGGACTCGAAAGGACTCAGCACTACACTGGGCTCATCAATGAGCGCTATTGGTGGACTACAAACAGGGCTTGGCCTTGGCACTCTTCAAAACGGCTTCTCGCAATCACTCCTGCACACTCCCGGACAGGTTTGGGTTGAGTTTTTCATATTGATATTTTCTTTATAAAAAACATCGCCATCTACATTTTTCTGAATAAACGCGAACTTCACAGAACGGTTAGGATTTATGGCCACTTGCTTCAAGTTTAGGTTTAGTTAGGGAAATAAAGCAATCTGAGTAAAAAATCTGATATATAAGGTCGAACTTAAAGTGCATCCGGGTCAGTACGGCCGGGAAGAAATTGCGTGCGATATTACCGGTAGTGAAAATAGGAATGGGAAAATAGAAAGTGAAATAGGAAAATATGGAAAAGATAAATCTAGTGAAGTTGGGCAACTTGTGAAAGAGGAACCAGGAATTAGTTAAACAGAAGCCTTCAACTTGATATACTAAAATGGTCCGTTTCGTCTAAAATTCACAACTTCCCGAGGCTAAGCTTCCCTGGCCTGGCGGGATACCATAGACTTAGGATCTAAGCCTAAGCCTAAGTTTGGGTACGGC